TAATATGCAAGTGATTGGTGGTAAATGTGGTTGTCGTGGCTTTGTTGGTGCTGTTGTGGCGGTGACGACGTGGTGTGGGTGGTTGAAAGTGGTTATAATGGTAGTGGCAGTAGTCTATGACCAAATGATTGATAATCTGTTACCAAATATTTTGTAATTTGTGACCAATTACTTAATCGTGACCTAAAAATTTAATAATATGTGATTCAAAAATAATCAGTGATCAGTTAACTTAAAAATCTGTGATCTCGAAATAATCCGTGACGTATAAAATTTTTGATGCGTGACCTCGAAATAACCCGTGATCAATTAATTTTAAAATATGTTATATATAACCTATAATTATATATATGTGACCATTAATTATATTACTGTAATTTTATTATATTTAATTAATAAATATTTTTAATTAATTAACTAAAACCTGATTTTTGTATTAGTCAAACTTAAAGCCTAATTTTTGAATTGTGTATAGTTAATCCATGACTTTTGAACTCTACCCTTAAAACTTTTGAAGATTTTGATGGACTTTTTTTAAGTAATGAATTTTGTGAACTTTTTCGAAATTTGTATAGAATTAGTAGAAGTTAAACTTTTATAGACTTTCATTTTAAAATTTTTATAGTCTTTTGTAGAATTCAAAAGATTTTTGAAAACTTTCGTATGAAATAGAATCCATTTAGATCTAGTGCAATAGTAAGAAATTATCATATACGAGGTGGCGGTTCTCACGATTCCCCTTTACCAACTCATATAATAAAAAAATATTTAAAATAAAAATAAAAATTTTAGACCTTAAATAAATAAATAATAATAGTGATACATATAAAAATAAATTTAATATTCAGTATTATTAATATTATATACCCTTAAAGAATAAATAAAAAATATACACTCAACTTTAATTATAAAATAGTTTATATAATTTTTATAATTTAATTAAAAATAGATATTTTTTACAAAAAAATGAATGAAAAAAAGTTATAAGAATACAATTTAACTTTTTTTCCTAGAAAATAGAAATAAACAATAAGATAGAGAAAAAGAAAAATAGAAACTAATATAATCAATAGAAGAAAATAAATTTTAATCATAACTCTAATATTCACAGAAGAGAAAAGGAATGACAAATATTGAAAAAATATATATATTATTTTTAATTTTTTATGAAAGTTTCTCAAAATTTTGTGATTAATGAGAGACAAATTTGAAAATTTTATTTTAGTACTTTCACTTAAAATATAGTACCATTGAGATTTTTATAAAAGTTATTAAAATTTGAATATCCCAAAATTTATAAATACTTTTAAAATGTTTTAATTGAATACACCGTGACTTTTAGTAATTTTTAAAAATCTTAATTAAAAGAATTTTCAAAATCTAAATTGAATAGCCTCATGTACAAGAAGAATTATGCATTGAATATATCCCTTGGGTATCTTCTTCTATATATATCCCAGAAGCCACAAGGACAGCATTCGATTCTCTACTGAAAGTTGCAAGAAGAAAAGGAGATAAGAAAATGCCGATGAAGACGTTGGAAGCAACAATATCAACATTTGATGAGGTTTTTCAGAAATTTACAAGTGAATCGCCAAACTACAAAGCCAATTTCATCGTCTTCTTGGCTGACAAAGACCCATCCACCAATCTTAGCTGGTGCCCTGGTAAAAAATTAATCCAAATGTATATAATATCTCTTAATCTATGTACATAGTTTTGATTGTCGAATTGATTGCAAGAATGGATACTGGATAGGGTTCTAATTGAGAAAATACAAAAACCCAAATCCCATATTAGGCATTTTTGATGAATTTTATTTTCAGTTGAACTTCTGTTATGTTTCTTTGTCTGCGATTGGGAGAAGCTTGTCTGTGGAGTGATGTTTTAGTTATTTTTGGGGTTTCTTTTCCTCTATTTATGGATTATGGATTTTATTTCCTTGTTGCTTCTCTTTTATTTGTCAAGTGCATTTTTTCTACAAAACTTTTACGCTTTTGCTTTCCGATTTTTTCATTATAATAGATATATGAAGATGTCGAAACTCCTTGGGCTTATGCCCAATCCACGTCTCAGGGCTTACACATTGCCCCCAGAGAAATGGTGCGCCTTTGCCTTTTAGTGATTTCAACCCTGATTCTTTCTCCAATTCGTTCCATCACATTGCTTATCCTCAATCTCGTTATTTAAATGTGTTCCTGCAAATGTTTGGCAGAAAGAAAGGGCTATTTAATTCTAATTCCCTTCTCAACTTGTCCCTTAGAAGATGGTTGGTAAAGACTAAAATATTATCCCCGTCCTAATATCTCTCATAAACGCAGAAATGAAAGCAAGACATTTGTTTTATATCTTTCTTCCAATTTGCTTTTCCATCGACCAAGTCTTGATGTTACCTAGATGGTCCTCTAGAAGGTAAGCACGATACTGAAACATGAATACTGCAAAAGAAGCAAGCAAGCTGATCATTTTCTGCTGCAGAAGACCGATGATGAGACCTACAATGTTTACTTTACCTTCTTTTTTTTTTTTTTTTCCTTCTTTTATATTTTTCTCAATTTCCCCGTGTTTTTTGTTTGCTTTTCCTGCATTTATAGTGAAGGTGAAGGAGAAGTGGAGGATGTGCAAAAATATCGAGAAAAAACTCAGTTATGAAGAGATTAATACGAAAATAAAATATCCTGATCATTTTCTTGAAGATCCTGAAGATGATATGGCAGACTTTTAGGCTTTTACCTAATTCTGGTATTGGGTTAATTTTGTTTACGTGATTATTTGTTGAAATAATTTTGTTGGTTTGGTTGAGGCTTAAGCCTTGTGGCCCATGTCTTGCCTCATAAAGGTAAAATATCTTGGTACCCTATTGAGCTTTTTTAGACATTGGAATATGGGATTTCTATTGAAGTTCAAATGATTCTTCTTAAGTTAGATAGCAAATGATCACAACAGATTAGTGTTGCTCAGTCTGTTAGTTCTTGGTTCCCTATCTCTCCTTTTTTTGAATTACGAATCTGAATTGAAGTTTCAGGATTCTCTGCACCCCCACCTCATGACAAAAATATGTTTGTTTGGTTTTCTTTAATCAGATTGTGTGAGAGCTGAGCCCATCATATACAAGAAGTTTGAATCATCACCAGACGATGTGGCACTGCTGAAGGCTTACGTTGGAGATAGACCTACATGGAGGAATCCCCATCACCCATGGAGAATTGACTCGAGGTTTAAGCTCAAAGGAGTTCCAACATTAGTTTGCTGGGAAGATGGTGCAATAAAGGGTCGTCTGGAAGATCACGAAGCACATCTGGAGCACAAACTTGATGCCCTTCTATCTGGGAAGTAAATCTTGTGATTCGAATCAGGTAGTAAGAATAACGTGTTGAAAAATAATCCTTTCTGGAAGACAATTTCCAGAACATGTTGAACTTCTAAGTTTGGACTATCTGTTTTCAAGTTACATATATAAAACAGCGAATTTGAAATTTCACAGCATCAAGAGAGTAGAAGAATCTCCTCTATAAGTTTTTCATTTTCTTCTTTTTTTTTCTTTGTTTATTTTGGCTTAAGGGTAATTTTGTCTTTTCACGTGAACTTATCCATCATCATGGACCGAAAGCATCAGCAAGGATGAAATGTGCCATGAGAAAAATGTGGAGACTAGTGTAAATGGGGTATAAGCTGGCGAATGTAGGGAAGAATACTTGACATGAAAAATAAAGAATATAATCTTTAGTATTGTGATAAAAGATGAACAATTTAAGGGCATGTTTGGTACAGATTTTCATTTTATACAGTAAATCAATTCTCATTTTCAGCCACATATTCTTCAATAAAATAATATTTTTCATCACATCAATACCTTTTTCTTCTTTTTTAACCACACATTTTCCATCATATCACTATTCAAAAATCAATTCTTCCCCCAAAAATCCCTACCAAACACACTAAAACTTGTATAATCCTTACTATCTTAAGAGAGGGAATTCACCATTTATTGTTCATTTGTGAAGCTTTTTGTTTACCCCATTTCTACCCTTTATTTCAATCCACTGTTTACTGAAATTTTTTGTTTATCACCATATCTATTCTTTTTTCTACCATATTGCCTCTGAATATCTGATTTCTTCTTAGACAAGCCACTGTCTACTCTTGGACAAGCTACCGTCTACTGTACCTATACCCACATTTGTCGACTTTACATACCTACGTTGCTCCTGAAGGAGGCCAAAAAACAAACGACAATTTCTTTTACACGTTTTGTCCACAACATCAATTCCAACTTCGTTACATCAAATATCCACAGACTGCGAGGATTTTTTGTACACGCAATTCCATTGTTAAGTTTAGAAAAGCAATTGAAACTGCAAAAAATAAAATAAAAAAAATTCTCGGGTTGTAATCGTTTGTAAAAAATTGAGAGATACGTTACAGTTTGCAACTTTTCCCACACCTTCTCCACTTCAGCTTACAACAACTATTTCAGTTTAAATCGATATAAGTTACATTTCCCTGATTTGAACTTGTATGGAAGTTTTCGAATAGACATCCTGAGGTATGTGTATTCTATATTCCCAGAAGACATTGAAATGAAATTTCGTTTAAACCATAGAACTTGCTTGCCAGTTTCATGTATTTCTATTAGTTTTTCACATATGTAGATAGGCTAAATATGTTAATATTCTTCATTAGAATCTTATTTCCAGTTATGAACAGAGTTATACGCACTAATAACATTCTTCAATTTCTGTTAGTTGCTTTGAGCTTGAACAATTCCATAACTTAACATACAGTTGTAATGGATGTTCGAATACACTGTTCAGATGGATGTTAAAATTGCTATTTTCTGACATTACTGATTGCAACTAAGTTTCTTATTTGCAGCAAAAAAAAAACTTTGCTGAGTGAATGCTCTGCATTTGTGCGGAGCTCTCCGCTTGCCTCCGAACCCCCACAAGGGGCGCTGCCCCTTCGACCATCGCGACATGATCGAGCAGGTCGATCCCTGTTGGGGGCATTGCTCTCGAACCCCCGCGACCTGATCAGGCAGGTCATTCTCGCCGGGGGTGTTGCCTCCGAACCCCCATTTGATATAGGGTTATTTTCAACAATATGTTTGAAATTCTTTAATTTATTTTATGATTTGATACATTATTATTTTTAACTTTACATTCACGCAATAAAATTTTTTACATGCATATAAAAGATTTTTCCCTATTTTTTAACCACACATTCTCCAAAATATTACTATTCATTTTTTCCCCTACCAAAACGGTTGTCTAACAGGCACTTAATAGTTGGGAAAAATTCATGGGTCATGGATTATCTTTCACAAAATAAAAAATCAGGTCCAAATTTTTAAATTTACAAAACTCAGCTTTCCATGAATTAATTAATTATATTTTACAATTAATTTATTAAGGGGGTGTTTGTTTGGGATTTTTGAGGGAAGAATTGATTTTTGAATATTGATATGATCGAAAATGTGTGGTTGAAAAAAAAGAAAAAATTATTGATGTGATAGAAAATATTATTTTATTGAAAAATGTGTAGTTGAAAATGAAAATTGATTTATTGTAGAATTTGAGAATCCCAAACAAACAAGTTCTAAATTAAATATTTAACTGTAATATAATATAATTGACCCACCTCCACCTCCACCTCCACCTCTACTGCTCCGTCGACTATTACGATGACTGCTCCGACGATCGGCGACTACTTGGCTACTGTTCTCCGACCTCGCTTAATTTCGGCGACTAATTTTCGATGACCGTTGCCCGCCGCTTAATTTCGGTAATTGTTCCGATTCCAAGGTCACAGATATCTTATTAAGTAGTTAAAAATTTAATTTTCGGTCACAACTTATCAAAGTAATTGGTCACGGATTATTTTGAGATCACAAATGAAAAAAATTATAGGTCACAGATTTTTAATTGGTCACAAGTTAAGAAAATTTGTTGGTCACATATTTCCAAATTTGTTGGTTACATATTATACTTTTAGTCACAGATTAACAAATTTTAAGGTCACAGTTAAGGGTGTGTCTGGTGGAGCTTTTTAAACCAAAAAAAGGGATTATTGTACCGTTAATTTTTAAACTCAACAGCCATTCTTGACCCCATGTCTCACAGGTGAGAACCACAGGTTGAAAAAAAGGTAACTTTTCTGCTCAAAATCTGATGAAAATTTCTAACAGACACACCCTAAATAGTTAGCCATATATAACTATATAGTTGATCACATACACCCAAATCCCTGTCCCCCAATCCCACTACACCGCCAATACTTGGTCACAAATTGGTATAGTTGGTCACATACACCCAAACACCCGTCCTTCCAATCCCAACACCACCAATACTTGGTTACAGATCGATCAAATAGTTGGTCACATAAACTTTTCGTCCCATCTGCCCGCCACCACCACCGCCACCAATAGTTGGTCACGGATCGACCAAATAGTTGGTAACAGAAACTCTTCTTCCCATCCACCCGACGTTGCCGCCACCTTCATCGCCCCTGACCACCGACCAACAATAACACCATCGACAACCAACCACCAACAACAACCACACATAGAGATCCGCTCGCCACAGCCACACACAGATATCCGCCACACCACAACCGACAAACCACCGCAAAATCACAACCAAAAAATCGCTGCACCACCACCGAGTGAAGACCTCCACCGTTGCATCGAAGACCCACAACACCTCCACCACACACCCACTACTACACCACCGCAAAATCACAACAAAAAAAAAGCAGTCTTCTGTTCGTTCTCTGCCGAGCGAAGACTTCCACCGCATGCACCACCGCATCAAAGACCCACAACACCTCCACCGCCCGTCATAGCCACACAACGTTACGACACTACACACCCACAGCATGAGCATGAGCATGAGCATGAGCATGAGCATGAGCATGAGCATGAGATTCCACTTTGTCTCAAATGCCACATGACCTCTTTGGTCATACCTCTTTGGGGTGGTCAATTTTCGGGTCATACATCTTCCTCGAAAGCATGGCTAAAACCTTGTGCCAGGCAGCCCTCAACTCCCCCTTGCTAAGACTTATCCAACAGGGAGACAGAGTTCTGCTGTTAATATATAACCTCATCCAGAAAGGATTCTACCATCAGAGTCCTATCTTTGATCAAACACATAGGTAATGCAAAACCAATTAAATTGCAACTTCCAATCACAGTAGAACTCCTAGGGATTTCAACATAGTAATCGTACTAGGATTACACTACCTACATCTATAAATATATCATTCCAATTCATTATTAATGTACATTTTTTACATAATGTTCAACACATATATTTCACAAATTCTCTCTCTGAATTAAGTATCGGAGGGACGATGAGGACACACCTCGACGCCTTTGTTTCAGGTACGGAAAGACCTCGTTTGTGCTCATTCTCAGTCGTTAAGCTTGAAAGTCGGCAAGTACGATTTTTGGTAGCATCAGTACCTATTTATTGGATGATTGTTCAGACATTGAAAAGAATATTCCTAAATTCACATATAAAATCCAAAAAGGTAAATTTTAGCTACTCTAGCCTCTTGAGAAAAACCTAACCCAAATGCATTTATCTTGATTGAAGAAACAATTAATTTCCAGCAACATGTCACACAGATTACTGTAACCTTGGAGCAACTTGCACACCGATTGCCCATCGATTACGAACTCATGATGTTTGAAGACATGTTGTAGCTAAGGCAAGGACCGATGACTGTTGATCAATGTACAGACCGCTTTCATGAACTCATCGTTCGCAACAGAAATACAGAAACTTAGCAGCAAACTTTAGCTCGTTCTTGTACAGGGCTAAGGGGCAAAATACGCAAAGAAATGACAGATGCTCGATTAATTAACACAGAAGAAGCCTACCAATTAGCATTACAAATTGAGAAGCAACAAGGGGCTTTAAGTGGGAGGAAGACGGTGTCTACTGATCCTAGAACGGGATGCTCTACAATCTCACCATTCAGGAAACCACCAATACCGAGTGAGCCCACCAAGGGAGGGCTGGTAAGTGATCAAAAGGGAAAAAAATAACAGTCGAGGGGCCGCAGAGCTATAAGAGCAAGGGCTTTGGACATTTTGCAGTGGTATGTCCTACTCAAGACCGAAAGCTAGCTTATATTTGTGAGAAGGACTTAATGTTGATGGACAAAGGGGATGTAGATGAAGATATGGAAATAAATGAGAATACGGATGAAGATGAGGAACACCTGGGTGCAACTGACTTACCTAGTTGCATCATCAACCGAGTGCTAACAGAACAAAAGAAAGGGCTAGAAAATAACCATGAATGGTGCCGCACCAATAGCTTTCATACC